TTGTTGTTTTAGAGCCATACCTAGCATGCTCAGGGGTTACTCCTGGCCTGCACTCAGGAATCACTCCTGACAGTGCTCTGGAGACCATATAGAGTGCTGGGGAATTAAACCCAGGAAGACTGTGTGCAAGTGCCTTATCGGCTGTGCTAGCACTCTGGCTCCCAATTTTTTTGGCAGGGAGGCTTTGGGCCACACCCGACCATGCTCAAGGGTTACTCCTAGCCTCCTGGCTCTGTCCTAAGTCTTTGTTCCTGACAATGACCATATGGGTTGCCAGGGATTGAACTTAAGTCAGCCACATGCAAGGCAAACACCCTACTCACTATTTCACTAACGTCACTAATTCTTTTTCTCTTTTTTTTAACTTCAAGTGATTCTGTTATTTTTTGGAAAGCACCACACTAGCACGTAGTTTCTCTTGAAAGTCATATCTTCGAGGATCTCTTCACTTCCAATGAGAACAGATTCAGTCTTATCTTTTTAATGTAAGAGTACTGTTATCTATTCAGCCATTGATTAAGCTGATTGAATTGGGCATGAATTCCACATTACGTTCTTAATTTTTTTAAATTGAATATCAGTGAGATAGGCATAACAAAGCTGTCCATACTTGGGTTTCAGTCATACAGTGATCCATCACCCATTCCTCTACCAGTGTAAATTTTCCACCACCAATGTCCCGTTTTCCTACCACCAATCCCTCAACACCTCAACTCCTACCCCAGCCTCTCTCTATGGGGGGGCACTTTCCTTCTTGCTCTCTTTCCTTCTCCTTTTGTGCATTATGGTTTGTAATACAGGTATTAAGAGGTCATGCTGTTTGTTCAGGGCATTCGGTATTTTTATCAGGACAGTAAGTCTGGAGTAGCTTTTCAATTGGGTGGCAGCTTTGGGGTGTGGATATGACTGCTGAGGCTTCCAGAAGTACAGGGAGGTAGGGAGAGGTAGCCCATCCCAACCCCAAGAAAGCCAGGAGATTTCAGTCACAAAACCCGCTTACCAGAATTGTCAGAAGATTATTTCTCAATGAGATCCGTCCTGAGAAGGTGGAGTCAGGCCAGGGGCATAGTGTGATTTTGGACTGTGGGAGCAAGCAGCTGCCGGGGGCTCTGCTTGGGCAAACACCAGGCTGACCTTCCCCCACCCCGCCTTTGATTTACCCTGGTCTGTTCAGCAGGTTCAAGCTTAACTGCGACTTCTGATCTCTTTCGAGATTTGTGGTTCTCTGAAGCAAGGCCAGTAGTAGAGCTTACATGGTGGTACTGGAGTAGGTTCGTGGGGGTGACTGCCACTGCTTCCAGGAGTATTGGGAAATGGGGTGAGCCCAGCCCAACTCCAAGAAAGCCTGGAGATTTCAGTCACAAAACCCTCATACCCAAATTATCAGCAGATTATATCTTGGTGAGGTCTGTCCTGAGATGGAGTCAGGCTGGGAGTATGGCAGAGATTTTGGATTGTGGAAGCAAGTGGCTGCCAGGGGCTCTGCTTGGGTGGGCTCCAGGCTTAGCCCCTCCACCCCCCACCCCCGATTTACCCTGATCTGTTCAGCCATGAGCAGATCCGAGATTACTTGTGGTTTTTGATCTCTTTCAAGATTTATGGGTCTCTGAAATAAGGTCAATAAATGAGCTTGTAATAGCTGAGGTGGAGGTGGCTTGTGGGTGTGGCTCCCACATACCTAACTTATGGCTGTTTAATTTCTTGGTAAACTTGGTCCCAGGTTATTGGGGTCCAGCAAAGGCACAACGGCAATTTTGGGGTACTAGGAATCCTGAAGGCACCATCAGGCTGCAGATGCACTTGTCCTGCAGGTACAGGCTGACCTGCTGGCAGCACCATACCCACCACAGATTCGGTCTTGCAGCACATTCCTTTCAAGTGAAACCATGACTCCATCATTTCGGGTTCAATGTTCAAGTGTCTGAGCACATATCAAGTGCTAGTCATTTTGCTTCGCATTCTGGCTGCATAAATAAGCAAACCACAGTGTTTGCCTCAAGGTGCATCCAGTTAGTGGGACAAACAAACATAAATAGGAATTTGAAGGCTTTCAGGGGGCCAGGAGTTAGCAAGACATAAAGCAGGCCAATGAGGCAGAGGGAACAGCAATAAAGCATATGAAGATGGAAAGACCCAGAGACTCAGAATGATGGACTCAAGGAATCATAAAAGTTGTGCATTAGTGAATGCTGAGAATCTTAGGAAGAGGACCATGAGGTGGAGCTATAAAATCAGTGGGGAAAAGTCATATAAAAGACTTTATGTGAATAGTTCAAAGGACTGGAGCACCTGCTTTGCAAGGAAGCCTTGGGTTTGATCCCTGTCACCTGAGCATCATCAGAAGTGGCCCCCTAAGCACTACTGGATGTCACCCAACAAGGAAAAGGAAAAACTCTCCTGTGTTTTATGCTACAAGTTTGGTCTTGATCCTAAATGTGATGCGAGAAATGTTAGGTTATGACAAGACATTACTGGTTGTAGTAAAGAAGGGTCACCTGTTAGAAATGGGAGAGAGGATGGACGATGGGCAAAGAAAGCTGGCAACAGAGGAACAAATTAATTGCAGAATTAAGAATTTATGTATGTCAAAAAGCACCATCAACAGAAGTTTTGAAAGAAGCAAAGCACTTGAAAGCGTATCTGCAATTTTCTTGACAAAAAGATATCCTTAATAAAATTACATACTGATAATAAAGTAAACATACTAATATCAAATAAGTACAAGTGATCAAAAAGTATATGAGCTGTTATTCACTAGTCAAAGAAGTGCAAGATCAAATAACAGTGACATGCTCTTATCTTCCTATCAAATTGGTTACGATTTGGTAAGTGATCACACTCCTTAGGGCTGCAAATAGGAGTGTGTTTTGGTACAAACATTCTGGAGGGCAGTTGGCAACATATGTCAAACTTCTTAAATCTAGCCAAGCAATTTTCTTGCTGGGTTTTATCCTAAAGGATTAGTGATAGGTGTGTGCAAAATTTAGCCATAGGAATGTCTGTTGCAATATTATTTACAATAAAAATCTGGGAAAATGAAATCATCACTAGGAGATGAGTCCTATGAAGATGGGTCTATCTGTGTAACAAAGATGCTGTTAAATATGAAAAAATATAGGACACATCAAAAAAATTATATTCAAGATAGAGGAAGAGTAGTCACATGAGGTGGAAACCTCATGTCCCATGGGCTACCATTTGTGAGCGACAAAAAATATATGTTCACATAGGTTGGAAAGGGCTCAAATGACTCTGAAAAGATATTCTGGTAATTGGAGGAAAACCAGATGCCGGCAGGGTGGGGAGGAAAGTGACTTCTAACTGCAGAGCTTTATGAATTTTGCATCCGTGCGTGTATTACATGTTCTAAAATACCCACATCTTGAAAAGTAACTTATTAGAGTATATACATTTGATCCAGTTTTTGTAAAAAAAAAAATTGTGCACGTGCATGTGTACATTTATACCAAGAAGAACCAAAAGATATATCCCAAAGGGTAGCAATGTTTACCCTGGGTGGTAGGGTTTTTAATTGGAGTTTGTCTTCTTTGCCCCCTAAAATTATACACAAGAAGCTTTCATGAGAATGAAAAACTAATATTGACCCCAATAAGTCTATTAACAAAAGTCCAAGAGAGAGAGGACAAAAGAGGTCAGATCCAGGCCCCCTCAGCTTGACCTGCAAATAAAGTGTGCAGTGAAACCAAAGTCCCCATTTTGGGGTGGGGGAGGGCTTGGGAGAGGGAGTTGAAGGTGTTCAAGGTGAACAGACCTGATTTTCCTTCACAACTCTCCAAAGTCTCTGTTGAACAAACGCACAGAATATTCTCTCCCAACACCCCAAACATCAACCATTTCTCCCAGACACTGCTTTTCTTTGGACTACTTGAACTTTTGGGTCGCAGTGAGTGGAGTTCTGGTAAGCACAGTATCTATGGCACTGATTGTTCTTTCTCTGGAAGGACAATAGTCTTCCCCCATTTGTTCAGCCCTGCTTCCCCTTACCCGCCGAGGCAAGACTTCTCTTTTTTGCTCTATGTCAGGGAGAGGTACTCGGGGTCCTTTCTCTCGGCATGGAGACCAAAGGAAGATCCTGTCCATTTGAATTGTGCTTTCGAAGGCCACCTCTGACCTTATCTCAACCTTATCTTTGCCAACTCCCAGATTTTCTGGGATTGGGACATGACCTTTTGTACATTCACCTTTGCTGCAAGATGGTCTTGAGCTGGGCCTTGGAAAGCAATTTTGCAATAACACAGCCAAGAGAAGGCTCTGATGGGGCAGCTGAGTATGAGGCAGCTCTACCAGTATTTTCCTTTTCCTCTTTTCTGGCTTGTAAGCTAGAGACAAGCAACTCTAGGTCTCTGGGTATTTCTAGCTTGTAGCCCATTGTAAGACTTTGAGAAGTTTTGTGAGTCTAACTTGCACTCAGACCTCTGGGCCTAGAGCTGTGATTAGATTCGTTGCATTGGAGTATCTGATTAAACAACCCATAATTAACTCTGTGCTTCCTTTCCAGCCATCTATAATTGTGACTCTTCACTGACACTGGACATGGCGTGAGTAACAGTAGGGAGGTTGTTTGGATACATGCTAGCCCCAACAGTAAGGAGACTGAGTACCCAGAAATAACTGCTGGATCTCAGTGGTCTTTTTCTGGCTGTCACTGCTCTGACCAGTAGTGTATCCAGTATTAGGAATCTTTGATGCTTTAGGCAAAATCCAAGAGGCAGCCCATGTACCACCACTGACATAGTCAAGACTTTCAACTCAACACACATTGTCCTCCTCTGGAATGGGTGTGACTCCGAAGAGCCACAACAACCCCTAGAGTGGCCAGTCCAGTGGACTCTGGAAGAGACCTGGTTCAAACCCTAGCTCTTCCACTGAAGGTCATGCAACTTTGGGAGAGTTGGTTGTTCTGCTTTCCTGTGTTCTCACCCTCCAGAAGGATCTCTGAGGGGAACTATATGTAAGAAATGAGCTTATACATGTAACAATCAGAGTATAGTGCATTTAATAAATGCTAACTATGAACATTATTGCATCCGTATATAATTTGTACAATATTGTCTCTTTCACTAATCACACACAAAAATACATAAAAGTGCCTTGAAAAGTTTAAAGCATTGTATAAATTAAAGGTGTCATTGGTAATAACCTCATACGAGTCTTCCTCGACCCTTCTGTCGCTTCATAGACCAGGACTACATCCGTATCCCACACACCATCTATTGCACAAGACAAGGCAAAAAAATGAGCCCTCAGCAAATGGTTCTTATTTGACAGAAACAATGTGGCATAGCATAAAGAGTGTAGTTATCAGGAGACTAGGCTGGGATAAAATTAGTTTAAGGCAGGAGAGCCAGTCTGCAGTCATAATTTATTCATTCAACAAATACGTGTGGAACACATTCCATGGGTACAAGTTCCCACAACGCCGAGTCCCTGGGCAGTCTCCACAATCCCAGCCTACTCAACAAGCACAAAGACAGCAGCCAACATTGTATTTCACTGGATAAATGGCCACTGCTTTGGGGGAGAGCCCATCCTGCCTGGCTGTAAGTGGCTCTGAGTGAGGGTGGGGGACAGGAATGAAAGTGAGGGGGTGGGCTGCTTCCAACAGAAACAAACAGAGTTGCTGCCTGTCGATCTTTTTATTTACACTGCGTGAAGTCCACCATTCCACCTGCCCATCTACACAATGACCCCGAGATAGCCTCTCTCCCTGTCCTTCTGTGGTCACAGCTGCCTGCTGGGTGGTATGTGTGGTCACCAGAGGGCACGGAGAGTGTGCTTCAGTGGCATGTGAGTCCTGGCAGGGTCTCAGAACCCTGCCAGGGAGAGAAGAAAGCATAAGCCAACGAGTGAGAGGAGGCCAGGGTCGAGGATACGGGGACTGGGAGCATCCAGTGTACCGAGTCATGCTTCACCAACGCTTCTGGTGTCAGCTGTATCCCTGGGTTGCCTTCTCACAGTTGCTTCTAGGTGCTCTGCTCTGTTAGGACACGGGGGTCCATCCTGGGGGCTCTGGGGCCTGCTGCCTCTCTGTGGGGTCCCTACCAGGTCTGCCTTTGTTGGGAGCACAGGCCAAAGTCAAAGCCTAGACCACGTTCCGAGCCTGGGAGGGTCCTGCCCAGCTGTCCCTGCAGGAGGGTGGTCCCTCTGGGGGCTGACCTACAGAGGATGCTTCCGTGGTTGGGAACATCCAGCAGATTCCAAGTGTGCCTCTTTCCTTTTCACACTGGCAGTAGACAAAGAGTCGAGGGGCAATAGGACAGGAGGGAAGACAGGGGTCGGGGGTTGTGAAAGGAACAGAGCCCAGAGAGCGACTCTCCACCAGGGGTGCACGGATGGACGGATGTCCCGGGGCAGGCGTGGGTGGTGCTTGAGAGAGGTGTTGGTGTTACATGGCTTCTTTCTCTCTCTGGGAGCATCTGCTGAGCTTCATCTCTGTCAGCTGGATATACCGAATCACATTGGTATCTGTGAGGAGAGAGACATGCCTTAGACACACATGGGGGTGGGGAACGAACTCAGGTGAATGCCGTGCCCACAGATCACAGACAGACTTTCTCGGTCAAGTGTGTTCTGCCCATCTGCGGGGGCTGGAAGGGCAAGCAGGGTGTCAGCCTGCTACTTCCCTGCCTCCCCTGGGCACAGTGGGCTGCTCGTGGTGACTGTGTGGACCACTCAGGCTCCCAAGCACGTAGAGCATATGCCCCCAGCCCCTGACCCTCTTCCCTGGGCCTCTGCTTTATTTTCTTCCTGGCACTTACCACGATGCAGTAGTATGTTACTATCTGCTCATTTGTTTACTGTCTCCCTTGCTCTGTTACGTCATAAACTCCTCGAAGCTAGAAGCTAGCACTTTCTTTTGTTCACTACTTCTTACCCAGTACCTCAAAGAGTACCTGGTCATTGCACCAACATAAATATTTGTGGAATGCATGAAGGGCTGAGCAAGTGGATAGGAACTTAAGTGGATGGTCCAGATGATGCATGCTCTAAGGAATGGGATCTGATTAGAGAAGTCAGAGCAGGTATCCGGCAAGATGCTGACTGGGCTGACCTGCCACAGAGGAGGGACGAGGTGGTGGGGGATGGGTTGGGGATGGTGGGGGGGATGCTGGGTCCATTGGTGGTGGAAAATGGGCATGAGGGATGGGTACTTGACCATTGTATGACTGAAAGGCAAACACAAAAGTTTGTAAGTCTGTAACTGTACCTCACAGTGATTCACTTAAAAAAAAAAAAAGATGCTGAGTTCGCCATCTGTCTGCATCTCCCTCACCAGTGTGACAGGGAGAGACCTATCTTCTCACATATGTCCCTCAAGTCCAGCACAAAGCTGGGCACATGGAAAAAAAATCACCATATACATGAATCAAATAAGTGAAGAGAGGTGGATTCTGGGTAGGAAAACACCAAGATTCTATATTTGAATCTTTGAAGAGAACTAGTGTCTGCCCAGGCACCCCAGAACCCAGACCCCAGGCAAAGTCAGGAACCAAGTGGTCTCCACATTCTAGGTCCCAGAGTGCATCTGTCTGACGTTTCTCCCCCACCCCCCGCCCAGCCCTGCCAGCCCTGCCAGCTCTTCGAGGCACCCACCACATGAGAGGGCACTGCTGGAGAGAAAGTGCAGTTTCTGCCTTACCTGTGGGCTGTCGGGTCCTGGCTTCTTTCAGGTAATAGAGTGCTTTGTCATAGTCCCCAAGGTGGTAGAAGGCCACACCAGACCGGTAGAGGGCCTTGAAGTTTTCCCCTTCCTTCTTCAGGACTTTGAGGCAATACTCTTTGACTCGCTCATAGTTTACGAGCTCAGCTTGGAGCAGGCAGGCTTTGGGAGAGAGAAGAGAAAATGCCATCAACACCATAAGAACAGGATCAGAATGTCTCTCATTCGTTGTTTCTCCTGGTCCAGCAGTGGTTTCCGAGCACTAGAGCTTTCCATATGGCATAACATAGAATGGGCCATCAAACAATCCTGGGCTGGAGGCCCCAAGGGCACCACCAACAAGTTGTATGGCCTTGAGCAAGTATTTAAACCTTACATTATGGGTCGAACTGTAGATCACTGTAGATCACTGTCCTCCCGTTGTTCATGGATTTGCTCGAGAGGGCCCAGTAACATCTCTATTGTGAGACTTGTTGTTACTGTGTTTGGCATATCGAATACGTCACGGGGAGCTTGCCAGGCTTTGCCGTGAGGGCGAGTTACTCTTGGTAGCTTGCCAGGTTCTCCGAGAGGGGCGGAGGAATTGAACTCGGCCATGTGCAAGGTATACGCCCTACTCGCTGTGCTATCACTTCAGCCCATGGGTCGAACTGAATCCCTACAGAAAGACTGTTGAAGTTTTAACCAGTGGGCCCTCAGATCATGAGTGTATTGAGAAACATGGTCTTTGGGAGGTAATCAAGTCTAAAGGGGGTCATTCGAGGGGTTGGGGAGATAGCTCATAGGGCTGGAGCACAAGCTTTACGTGTGGGAGCCCTGGTTCAAACCCAAGCACACATGGCTCGTCCGAAGCACCATGTTGGGAGCAATCCCTGACAGCACTGAATTGGGAGTGACCCCCTGCCCAGCACCAAGCTGATAGAGATCCCACCTGAGCACTGAGCTAGGAACAGCATGCCAAATGTGGCCCCAAAATGAAAAAGGGGATTCATTAATCCAACATCACTATTGTTTTTATAAACCGGCTCCTACAGAATGACTGTCTCTGTCCCTACAAATTTGTATGCTATAACCTAATCCTCAGTGACAGTACTTGGAAGTGGGCCTTCTAAAGGGGACTACATCATGGGGGTAAAACCCTTGGTGGCATCTTAACCCCTTTCTCCAAGCAAGGACAAGACCAGGAAGGGGCATGCCCTCACCAGACACCAATGTGAAAAATCAGTGGTGGCCTTGGGAGGCACCTAGATAAGTCACCATCAGAACAAGTCAAAGGGGAAGGATGGCCAAGGTAAGGGACTGCAGAGAGGAAAGCCGACCTGCAGAGACAGGCAGACTGGAAACCGGCAGAGGCACGAACGCATTCTCAGAACTCTCAGGAAAAAGCATCCGGAGTAGTGCTGAGATCTCAAGATCAAGAAGTCGGAGCTTCTGGAATCATGAGACAATCCATACTGTCTATGCCACCAGTGCGTGAGATCACCGATAAGCCACAGGAAGCAGTAACAAAACTAGCCACCATTAATGTCTACCCAGAGGTCACTATGGTTTGAAAACCTGTCTCGCTGAGTTGCACAGATGACCTGATATCAACCTCAGGGTACTCTGATGTAGGCCTTATTATTCTTATTTTACTAATGAGGAAACTGAGGCCCAGAAAGGTTAAGGAATTTCTCAAGGTCACCCCACATCAAAGAGTCAACTTGAGATCAAAGTTAGCTGGTTAAAGTGCTGAGCACAGGACTGGCCTTGCGGTAATGGTGTCCGGGGGGCATTCCTGGTGTGGTGCTCAGAGGACTCCACAAGGCTGGGGATGGAACATCCTGCCTGCAAAGCATGTGCTCCAGGCCTTCGACCCATCTTCCCAGCCCCTACCAGGATAGTTCACTTTCGGACTGGTCCTTCTGCCATGGCAACTGCCTCTGACTCTTCTCTTTCTCTCTCATTATACACTCATCTCTGCAGTTCTGGGAGCTGGTCCATCAGAAAACCCCATGGGCAGGTGAGGCCTGAGTGTGCCAGGCAAGAGGAAGTGAAAATGGGCAGCCACCTCTGGTTGGATCCCTTCCTATGGCAGAGTTGGCAAACTCCAAGTCAATTTCTCCACTGGAAGGTTCTCCCACCAGCTCTCAGACAGGACCAGAGAGAAGTAGCCAGTACAGCACTGATGCATGAGCAATTAAATGACAGGGTGCCTCACGTGCCTCCCCTCAATCCTGGCCCCGCTGCACTGCCTCCCCCTCCATACCAGCCCTCCACTATTCAGCAGTCATGGATTCTGACAAACAACAAGAAGTCGTTTACATCCATGGGAGGGATCGCAAAGTTCAAAAATTGGAAGAAAGACTCGTGCTTATTACTTCACCACCAATGAAAACAGAGACTTTGGAGGCAAACAGATGCTTCCCACCAAGACCTGGGCTGAGAAGAATGCTGGCTGCTGCCTTCCCCTCTACTCCCGGGGGCTTTTGTCATTTAGAATTCATCTGCTTCACAGGGACGGGGAGGGGTGGGGGGTGGGGTTTTATTGGGGTTCTTCATGGTAAAAAATAAGTATTGGTAAAGGGAAATGTGTTTGATATTTGCATGACTGAGACATAAACCTGAAAGCTTTGTAACCTTTCCCACAGTGATTCAATAAATAAATTAAAAAAAAAAAAAAACTGTTGGGGGGGGGGGGGGTATGGTGCCTCCAGCAGGTCAATCTGTACCTGTGAGGCGAGTGCATCAGCAGCCTCATGGCGCCTTCAGACTTCCAGATACCCCAAAATTGCTGCTGTGCCTTTGACCAGACCCCAAAAACTTGGGGCAAAGTTTACCAAGAAAGTAAACGGCCAAAAGTTAGGTATGTGGGAAACACACCCACAAACCACCTCCAGCTCAGCTATATAATTGGAGGCAAGGCCTCTTTGGTTCCTGATTGAACTGCTTAATGGACATGATCCCAGAGACTCAGAAACGAATCTCAGAACCCAGTGGCTTTAGGTAGAAATGCGTCTGGTCTCTGCAGTAGGCTACCGGTGCTGAGCCAACCCAGGTGGGAATAGGTTTCGTGTCTTGGCCTGTTCCCCCTGGCGGCCCAGTGGCCGCCATCCGTCTGAGTCCACTGGATAGTCACATTTGGGCCCCCAGAGACGAGACACACAAGGCCTCACGGGATGGGGGTGGAGCTGGGCTTGTCCTCCCCACCCCAACGAGACCCCAACTCATCGCCCACGAATGGCCTCTCTGGCTCCTGATCAAGCTGCTTAACGGCCATGATCACAGAGACTCAGAAACAAATCTCAAAACCCAGTGGCTTTTGGCAGAAATACATCCGGACTCTACGTTACTATTGCCGGGCCACCCCAGGGAGGAAAGGGTGTTGTCCCTCCGCCTGCTCCCTCTTGGCGACTTGGTGGCTGTCATCCTCCAGAGGCCATTGGACAGTCAGGCTTGGGCCCGCAGTGACGAAACTTGTTGGGCCTCACGGGTTGGGGGGGGGCGGGTGGAGCCGGGCCTGTCCTCTCCACCCCAACGAGACCCCAAGTCATCGCCCATGAACAGCCTCTCTGGCTCCTCATCAAGCTGCTCAATGGCCTTAATCCCAGAGACTCAGGAGCAGATCTCTAAACCCAGTGGCTTTTGGCAGAAATCCCTCCAGATTTAAGTGTTAAAATTTCGGAATTTCAAAACCACATGGCCCTACTGAAGCCACACGATATCATATGTTATTCATAATCAGCAATAGAACACAAATTGTCTACTGTTGCCTTTTCAGCAGATCTTAGTGTTGGGGTAAAATCTCAAATAATGGTGGGTCTGGTGTCAAAATAGTGAATGTGAGCAAAGTAGAGAGAGAGTAATGTAGAAATCATCTGCCCCACAGGCAGGGGGAGGGTGTGGGATGGGGGTATACTGGGAGTTTTGGTGGTGAAGAATGGGCACTGGTGAAGGTACGGGTGTTTCATTGTATGACTGAGACTTAGACCCAAAAGCTTTGTAACTGCTCTCACGGTGATTCAATAAATAAAATTATAAAAAATGGAATAAAAAAGTAAGGTGGAGTTCATGCACAATTCAATCAGCTAATCAGTGGCTGAATAAATAGCAGTACTCCTACAAAAAAAAAAAAAAGAACTGTCCGAGGGGTCAAGGTAAGTCTCTGAGTCTTCAGGGCTCTACCTCCAGCTGTTTCGAACCCTTAAGTAACCTTCCATGGATCAGAATAGCCCAACTCAGTAATTTTCTGATATTCACTTAATAATTTTCTAATCTTTAAAAACTTCTAACTCTTTGAGAAGAAAAGAGGAGCATTTACTGACAAGAAAACCACCACATTGGGAAGTGAGTCTGCTCAGCGTAATTAACCCGTGTTATTGAGGTGACACTGGTTTCTAATATTCTGTATGTAGGTACTTGCACTCACTACTCCAGCCCAGCAACTGCGCATGCTCCACCACCAATCCACCCAAAGTCCATCTGCTTCCTGGCACCGCAACAGTCCTCTACTGGTCTCATCCACACCACAATCCCCGCACCCTCCAGAATCACCAGTCTGTTTTCCAAGAGTTCATTCTGTACCGTTGATTCACTTTACTTCTTTACCATTTAGGAAGAACTGTCCGAGGGGTCGAGGTAAGTCTCTGAGTTTATCTTCAGGGCTCTAACTCCAGCTGTTAGAGCCACCAATCCACCCAAAGCCCATCTTCTTTGTCATCTGATATTGAGTGACATCAAATGGCACTGCTCTTTTTTCTTCTTTTGACTTATTTCACTTACCGTAATAATCTCTAAGTTCAATGGCAAGTTTGCAAGTGGTTTATAAATTTACTCACTTAGTGGCTTTTTCTCCCTCTGGAGAAGCTCATGTTCGCTCTTGAACACATCTCTCTCTCCCTCTTTCTCGTTTCTCTATTTTTATTCCGTTGTGTATATGCACATGCACATATGCGTCCCCATTTTTATTTATTCATTCATTCATGACTACTTAAGTTGTTTCCATAAACTTGGCAATTAAGCTGCTCTTTTAGAGAGCAGACCTTTCACTGGGCACTTGTGACAAAAGAACCAACATCCGTTTTGCAGTCTGAGAAGGTTAACCACATAGTCTCTCAAATTGAAGGTCTAAGAATCAGGAAAAACATCAGCGCTGATCTAGAAACTGGCCTGTCAGGTCTCAC